GGTTTGTAAGTAATTTGAGAAATAAAAATAATATTTTGAATTCCAATATTTTTGTCGGGAATTCAAGGGTGTTTGTTAATTCTTAGGGAAAAAATCCAAAAGGCAATTTATTTCTACTTGCTCTACTTCACATGACATTCTCAATAAAATTCCGAATGTTATAAATAAATGAAAAAGCAACATACCTAGACCCGAGTTATTGAAGCCCCACCTTGAACCCGCACATTTACTCGAGACATTGAACGCAATTCAAACGGTATAGAAAACGGTATTAGGCCTTAACCAACTATAAACTTGAAACAATTCCCTGTTACTCGATAAAAAAACCCTTATGCAGTAACTACTAATTTTCAGACGTCGATAAACGTTTGTGACTGCAGCACGTGTCTTCCAACTTAAATAGATTTAATCGTCCACGTCTAATTAGGTATTACTTCCGCGAACTTCAAAACAGTAAAACTTTCTCAAACAACAAAGACAATGGCGTACACTCATTTTTACTGAATTTCCGAGGTTTTGTCCTTGAAGCTAAGGACAGTTCTGCGGAAATTTCCCGGTTTTTTGTCAATCAAAATTCATTATTTTAATTCTTCTAATGTTTTGATTGTCCAAGAATTTTGACGCGGCCATTTCCTACATTTATGTCCATAAAGGGAATTTTTTTTTTGAAAATTCTGTAATTTTTTGATATTTGAATTTTTCTACATGTCCTTTATTTATTTATGAATATTTACGCATTTCGTGAATTTTCCAAAAAATTAGAATGTCCTTAAAAATTCATTATTTTCTTTTCTTCTAATTGAATTTTATAAATTCCTCGCATTTTCTATTCTGGAAAATTTCCGGCGAATTTGCATATGAATTTTGATATTCATTTATCTTTTTCATAGAAAAATCTAAATAATAGAAATTCAATGATAAAAAAGAATTTTCTGCGTCAAATAGAAATCTAAAAATATGCATTGACTGAATCTTAGAATTTTTTTCCCGGTGTACAACTCCCAAAAATTCTGGAATCTTCATATTTCCTGGAATTCAATAGAACTATCCGAAAAATTTTAAAATTTTCGAAAAATTATTCCATGCAATTGTTTCAAGGTAGAAATTGTTAATCCGGAGCGTGGAAAATTGTTAAAAATGTGACGAAAAAAATTGAAGGAGTGATAGGTGGAGCGCGATGAGACGAAAAAAGTTATGACCGGGTGTTTCGAGATGACTGGATCGACATTGGGGCATCTCCAGCCCCAAGTAGAGGAACCAAGACCATCAAAACCACCGGATATCAATAAAGAATTGGTATCGCCACGTCATCGCCGTATGCGACAGAGAATGACACCTGTTCCACCTGAAAAGATCGATCCGCCAATTCAACTGACACCGGTCTGGGAACATGTGGTTTGTCAATTTTCCTACATTTCACATGAAGAAAAAGCTCCACGAAAAATTGAAGCCAACCTGAATTTTCCCGAGAGTTTCGTTCACTTTTTCTAGAATATCCCATTAAAATTGTACAAAAATCTCCCACAATTTCCGGTTGATTCCTTAATTTTCCCTGTATGACATCTTGTTCGGAATTCAGGAATTCCTGCCGGAGAATCTCAGTGGAAAATCCATGAAAATGGTAATTTTTACTCGGATTTTCCAGCAAGAAATCTGAATTCACGATAAATTTGATGTCTCCCCAACTAATCATTTAAAATTACATTATCCATTCGCTAAATTCTCAATAATTTCCCTATCCCCGGAAAAATTCAGGTACGCATGCAACACCTTACTCGGAACTCAGGAATGCCCGGTGGAAAAAGAAGTGAAAATTCCACGAAAATTCTCATTTTTACTCCGATTATCTGTCGGTAAAATCTGAATTGAGGAGAAATTCGATTTTTGTCTGCCTAGTAATTTCAAGTAACATTTTCCACTAGTCGAATTCTCAATAATTTCCCTCTCCCCGGAAAAATTCAGGTACGCACGCAACATTTCCCCCCCGACATCGACAAGCACTCGACCTTCACCGAAATATCAGAAAGATTGCGAGATCCTGAGTGGGAAGTCCGTCAACATGCACTTCGTGTTCTAATTGATGTCGTACCAACATTACCAAAGGAACAAGTGGATAGTATTCTCTCGCCAGTTGTACCCGAACTCATCAATAATCTCGGACACTTAGCACCGGCCGTACGTAAAGGTGCAATTGATGCACTGAGGGTTTATCTTGTTTGCAGCGAGAACCGTGAGATAATCGTTAATAATGTGAGTTTTATACAACTTGAATCACCAGAAAAATCAGGAGAACATTTTTTTAAATCACCCCAGGGGGCTTCCCCTTCCACCTGTATGTCATAAATCTTTCGGGGTATTAAAATTCCCTTGTGGAACAAATACCAATTGCTGCTATTACAAGATATGAATGACCGGGGGAGTAAATAAATTCACTTTGCATTGATTTTCTCACAACCTCTTTCAACTTCCATGTAGCATCATTGTCAGCAGCTCAGATTGATAACATTTCTCATTAAAAATCATTAACATTCTGTAAATAAATTCCATTATTTATTCCGACGAAATTTTATATTTTTTTATATTTTATTTCATCATTTTTCCCAATATAGATGAATCTGAAAAAGCAGCGATTGAATTAAAAATGATGAATTGAAGAACAAAAGAATATTGTTAATAATTAATTTACAGTGAATGTTTAATTAATTTCATGAACAAACTGAGTATTTATCAGTTATAAATTGTCAATTGTCAATTTTGAGATGTTCTTTTCAGATCCTCGAAAGTGGTTTATCCCGTCAAGCTCCCCTGGACCCTCTCCAAATCAGCATCACTCAGGGTCTTATCCTCAGTACTCCCTCCCTCCTTTGCCCCTCCCCCGCCACTCCATCCCCCTCCGACAATCTCTTATCAGCGACGATAACAACGTTGGCTCACCACCTGATCCAAATAAACCACCAAGAGGCGGCTCTGAAGTCTCTCCTGAAGATTCGAGACACAATTGGCTCCGAAAACTTCGCCCACCACCTCTCGACCCTCAACCCCACGGCACTCAAGGACTTCCAAGTCCTCTGTGAAGTGTACAAAGTCAACGAGAGCCCGATGAAAAAGAGAATGAAGGGAAGAAGTCCGACAAAGTCACCAAAAATCGAAGAAATAAACGGCAATGTCATCGAGATTGAGACAAAAATCAGTCAAGGTCATCGTAAAGGTCAACTTCAGAAGGATTCCGATGACTTTGAGACTTCAGGATCTAGAGTCTTGTTAGAGACTGAAATCAAGCTCAACGAGGACACGGCGATAACGATGACCATCTCCGAGGAGAAGGACAATTTGCCGAATCATGGTGATCATGTTGAAGGTCAAGATGAAGCAGACGATGAAGTTGAGTCGAAGGACGTGTGGATCGAGAGGAGAAAGACACCGAGGAGAGTGCACTTTGGTGGTGAAATCGTCAAAATGAGAACACCTGATTCTGATGACTCCGAGGTACTTCAGAGTGAAGTTAAAAAGACGAAAATTCCCCTGCCAATAGCTCCTGTTACGAAGTTGCCACTTCACTTGACAAAGTCATCGTCGAATCCCAGTAGTCCGAATTTACCGAGGTCCGACAAAGCCTCGAGGAGATCGAGATCGGCATCGATCAGCCCAAAGAGAGAGTTCTACGTTCACGACGGGACTTTAAGCCCGAAGAAGGGGATCTTGACGAAGAACACGAGTCACTCGATGACTCGAGTGAAGTCTATATCGCTGGAGGGGGAGGGCTACTTCAATGGTAATCTTGATGATGTCTTTGGAATGAGAGAGAACGATAGGAGTTGGTCGTTCGAGGTGTTCGAGGATCTCGACAGCGACATCGATCCCAGGAACATTCTTCACGTCAATGACTTGAAGTTTAAGAAGAAGTCGAGGAAGAAATCATCGAGAGCAACTTCACCGAGGAAGTTCGAGAGAACAGAGAATAAAAATGTGGAGACATCTCTGGACGAGAAGATCGAGGCAAATGATGTTTCGAGTCAACATCGGAACAAACTTCACGGTATGAAGTTCAAGTCATCGAAGATTTTATCGAAAAAATCGGAGATAAATGAAGTGAAAAATGTGAGAAGACCTTCAGACGGGAGAATTTTTCGAAGTGAATCAGCGAGTGCTCTTCACCATCCCAATGATAATTTCCATAAAGAACTTCATGATGAACTCCATCATGAACTTCATGTCAATGGAAGAATTTCGGAGTTGAATCTTGAAACTTCACCCGGCAATTTACTCATCAACAATCGAGAAATAGATAATCAAAATTTCAGGAGAAGTTCAACATCACTCGGATTAACTTCAATTGAAGATTCAATTGACAATGAGATGAGAAAAAAATCATCAGGGACGAGGAGTTCTTCGAGAAAGGCAGTTTATGAAAGTTTTCCCAGAAAGGAGAGAAATTATATTCTTATGGAACTATCGAGCCCTGTTAAAATGAGTTCGAGAAGTCGTGAGGTCTCGCCTGTGGGGGCTGAAGAGGTCAAGGGGGTGATAAAGGGCGAGGGGGAGGATAAGGGAGAGAAAAGTTTTGTGGAGAAAAGTGGCGAGGGGGAGAGCAAGGGTGAGGCTAATTGGGAGGATCTCGGACTTGTGACTCAAGATGTTCTCGACGACCTTCATAATAAGGTAAAGACTATTAGATCATTAACAATAAAGTTGAGAAAAATAAATTGAACGAAAAACAAGGGTTGGGGGTCGTAATTGAGGGTCATTATTTCTACAGAGGGAAAATTGGGTCAAAATCACTGTTCTCAATCGGAAATTTTCCTAGCCTTCCACTGGAGTGGAAAAAATACGAGATTAAAATCATTAGGTAATTCGTAAAAAGGTACATAAAATTAATTAGAGAACAGTAAAGGTAATTTTGGAGTGTTTTTAGTGAATGGGGGAGATAATTACACGAAATTATAGGTGGGTAAATTTCTAGTTAGGAGAATTGAGGAAATTTTGAGTGGAGTGGAATAAAAAGATGTGGCGAATTGCTTTTTCATTGAAATTAAATGAATTTTCAATAATAAAATTAATTGAATGAGCAATACGTTTTTAAATAGTCATCTGAAAAATTATATCAATTACATGAAAATTATATCGATATTATCCAATGAAGCTTCAATAAAATTCAATTGAAGTAGAATATCCCGGCAGGCAATCTTTCCTGTATATCGATACAACAGTTGTTGCCACTATTTATTTTTCATAATTTTTCATAATTTTTTAAGCCATCATTGAAGTATTTCATGATATTTTTCCTTCAATTATCGTGAAAAAAATGATATTTCCCAAAAATTCAAAGGTGAAAAGATTTTCTCACATTTTCGGGAACTTAATTCAAATTAATATCGACGACAGGTTATTAGGATTCAACAATACTTAGGCATGACAAGAACATCTGATTTAATTTGACGAATCCATTACCGCTGCAAAAATTATATTTTCAACTTTTTCCATGATATCTGATGAAAATTGAGATTAAAAAAATTTCAATACCCGGAGGCGAAAGGCAAGAAATCCTAGATTATAGATAGAAAAATCAGTTAATTCAATAATAGCCTGGATAATGATGTTGCGGCAATGGATCCATCGTATTCATGGGGTATTCGGTGTGTAACGACTGAGAATAAATCAGACTATTTCGAAATGTTGAATGGTTGAGGCATGCGACGATGATGACAATCGCATACGAAATCCATATCTCGAATACTTCATTCAAAGTTCGGCCGAGATCGCTTTGATATAAAGCCGGACAGTAAACTGGGTCGATCGATTTAACCGCCCCATTGAAATCCACCCCATTACACCCACTGGAAAGTTTGAGACATTGGTAGACTCGACATTTTATTCTTAAAACATTAATTGGGTGAACAAGTGAATTCATTTGCATTTGAATATTTCAACTGAGACGATTGCAATCTTCATCTCGTGAATTATTCATTAAATGTCCTCTGAGTACTGGTAATAACTGTCTGGAGTGTAATCGAACATCTCGAAGTCCAGTTTAAACTTTTCGTACAGTTGAGTTATGTGATCAGGAGTTAATTGACTGAAATAGACACTAGCTGCGTCTGATCTTCCACTCTTGTGTTTCCACGCGGGTTTTATCTTGTTGGACAGTCCCATTTTTTCAATTGCAAATATTTGGTCCTCGTTGAGGGTCTCCACCTTCAAAAATTCAATTCTCCTTCAAAAAATTGCAATTTTTAACTATTAAATCTAAGAAAATATGAAATTATTCCCATTACTTGATAATAAAAAATTATTTTGACAATCCTTTTACCTTTAATTATCTATTTTCCTTGTATTTATCATATTTCATATCGTGAAATACTAATTGATCAACTAATTCTGGTTTTCCCGTTAATTAAGAAATTATCAGAGAATTCGGATGGATTCGTGGATTCCTCGATTTTTCAAAAGTAATTGATGACAAGTGGAAAATTATAAACTTTTTATTGTTGATAATGATGAATTGACAATTGATTTCATCAATTGCTCAATTGCTACTGCGATATACAATGACAAAACGTCAGGCTAAATCGATTTTCTCTAGGTATGATAATTAATACGTTGTCACTAATTAGCATTACCTTCGCAATGATTGTGTAATTGATGGTACAAGGTGTACAATACAGGTAGTAGGGCATCCAGTGATCGTCGCCATAACTCGCTAAATCAGTGTCAATTAGGTACTCAACAAATTCTCGCCAAGTTGGCTCGATTCCTGCGGGTCTCGGTACACCCTCTCTGTGGATAACTTGCTCCTCCCCCGGGGGTATAAAACTGTCATCTGCAATGAATATCCGGCATCATCCACTCCAGTCAATATCACCGGAAAAGTCACGCTCCAATGGATTTATTTGACGTGAAAATTAAAATCAATCGAACACGAGAGAACGCTGTATATCACTAATAAAATATAAATATTGAGAATTAAAATAGTCGCAAGATTTGTTTTTTTTTTGTTTATATACCGCCACGGGTTAGACTCCAAAAGCAATTTATATGCCGAGCCAATAAATTTGATGAATAAATATTGGTTTTAGTGGTTCGAGTAATTTTCCTTGCGTGATATATTCCTATCCGAATTATTAATTGTGTGGACCAATGGAATTTCGAGGTATAATTGTACCTCGCAACGGGATTTTGTTGTATGTAGAATGGATAGAATATTGTGTATTTGATGTTTTTTAATGTAAGATTCTGAGCGAGGAAAATAAGAAACTGGGATGTCTGAGGGTGGAAAATGAGAACTTGAGTGTTCTCCGCCGAAAACCTAAGAGGTTGAAAATCCTGAGTGGAAAAGATAAGAGTTTTTAGGTTTTTGAATGGGGTAAGAGATAATTTGAGGCTTTTGAGTGAGAAGAATAAGAGTTTGAGTTTTGCGAGCAGAAAAAATAAAAGTTCGAGCCTTCTGAGCGTGATACTGAGAATGTGGGCCCCATAAAAATTGATACCATCGCACTCAGAGGTGTGTGGGCATTGAATTTACGAATCGGAGGCCTCAGGCAGACTAACTTGAATTTAGTGAGTGCCAAGTATAAGAATCCGAGTGTCACGAGTCTTTAATCTATAATTGAGCTATAAAGATAAGCTCTGTAAAACCTGATTACTTTCAATCATCTCAATTTCTCGAGAATTTCAAGAGAAAATCACCGACCATCTAATCCATCTAAATCACCTATCCATTAATTTCCTTTACACCTGAAAAATAAATGAATATCGTCCGCATAAAGTCCTCGAGTTCATATACCCTCAACCAAAAATAGAGCCGACAAAATCCTTTTCCAAATATTTTATCACCGCGAAAATTCCCCAAATCCCCAGAAAATAAGGAGGAAAAATACCTCTGTATTTCTCGACAATCTTGGAGCCGTATTTCCGATAAAAATGCAGTGTACCATGTTCTCTTCGCGCTACCGAATTCTCGAGTTTGTCTCGATAAGCGCTCAATAGTCTCTCGAATGGATGGCGAACGACCAGAAATTTCGTGGTAGCCCTCAGCGCCTGGAGGATAAATAGAATATCGAGAAAAAAAAAAAATATACGTGAATTGTGAAAACAGTCGATTCGGGGTGAATGCGAAGAAGGGGTACTTGTTTGGCTTTGTATTTTCAACGACCTCCTCGGCTTCCGGATAATCCATCTCTGGTATTAGACGCCTGGCAATTGTCGATATCTGATCTTTACTTTTTGTCAGTTCACTCTCCGATATATTCATTAGCAAACAGAGGTTGTGAAGCCACGTTGTACTACCAGCTTTGTAGATCGGGCAGTAAGATATCCGATGAATCCTGGGGGCAATTAATTTGCCATTAATTGGGGATTTAATCATCTCCTCTGTAATTAATTGGGTCAATTACAGGAATTTTTTAATTGGAACATTTTTCTCACTTTGGGCAAATAACTTTATGGAATTTTGAATGGTAAATTTTACACGGAGGAATGGAATTTCTGGCTTGATGAGAATTTACTAGAGGCAAGTAAATTTGGTGAATTCTGATGGGGCAATTAATTTGGCATCAATTGGGGATTTGATCATCTGCTCGTAAATTAATTAGGCCAATTACAGGAATTGTTTTATTACACCATTCTATTAATTTTGGGAACATTATTTTATGGACTTTTGAATATGTAGGGAGCAGAGAAGGAAAATAAAGTATGAATATAATTTTATTTACAATTTCCCTGAAAATCCAGTGAATAAAAAAAATGAGAAACGTAATTAGCAAATTCTTTCTCTATCATTTCTTCAGAATTTCAACGGAATTTTCTCGGGGACGCTAGAAGAAATGGAACGGAATTTTAGGAGAAAACAGGATATTTTTCTACTGAATTATTTTTATGTGTGGAAAATTGAATTTTACTCACGTGTCGATGTAAAATACGGAATACTGAGGTGCTGGTGGATATTTGATAATATCTCTCTCCGTTTCCAATCGGTAAAACCCTAGATTATAATTTCTACATGCCTCCTCAAGTTTTCGAACTCTTCTTCTATTTCTTGTTTCTGCTTCGCGCTGAAAGTCGAATATTCCCCAATTAAAATCGATCTCTACATCAATAATCCAATCAATCTCGATCCTAAAAATCTGAGAGATTTCAAATTCATTGCGTCAATATGACTGAGCGTTAGAATTATTTTCCTTGAGACCGAGGAAATATTCTGACAACAATTGAAAAATTTATTTATCTTATTTGGGTTCTATTTTGGTCATTTACTAATTAATTAAACTTCTTCAAGATTCTATAAGTTACTAATTTTTATTAGCATAGACTCCTACAGTTAATTGAAGTTTCTTGAAAATGACAAATTCTTTTCATCGCTATTTCTTTCAGATAAAAATTAATTGATTTTTATATTTTAAGAAATTTTATATTAACAGAATTTCTGTTTAATTTCTGGACTGAAGGAATTTCGATTTTTTTGTAAATCCAAATAACGGCAATTTGGCTGGTGTAAATATATTTGTTCTCGTTTTACTTACTATTGAATTTTTATTGTAGTGGATTGTCCCCTCGTCGCGATGTGCCACTTGTTTCACGAGAACAACAACAATAACACACAACACAAATATAAACACGAAAAATAGAACTACCTGCCGTGATTTTCTACACATGTTATTTGTCTGCGATTCTCTTACTGAATGGAATGGATTGTATTCGTGTTTTCGTCGAGCACAACCTTTTACCCAACAAAAAAAAAACAACCGTTGATTCACTATCCAGAAACCTGTCTTACTACTGTCTGAAGAGACCAGCGGACCTTGAAGCGATCAATGCTCTCAGATGAATACTAATCGAAGGGGAGAACAATGATTT